CGGTCAAAAGCTACTCTGTAAGTGACACAGTACCTCAGAATAATGAACAAATCTGCACTGTTTTTGGTCGTAGCAAATATTCAGGCATAACACCTCGTCGTTGATGGTTCTCTGGTAAAGCATGCTAGCATTGAAAATACCGTTGACTTCCTTGAAAGTGACGTCACGAACGGCGTGAATCTACCAAACCATATACGTAATCTTCGTACAAAGAGTCTTTTGTTCTTACCTGCTTATTGAGTAAATATAGCGCAAAAATGAGTTCGAGGAGCATTTCGGCTGATCTGTAATATAATTATAAGGGATAAAAGTAAATTTTGAATCTATAAGGGATAAAAGTAACTCTTGAATCTATAAGGGATAAAAGAGTAACTCTTAAATCGTCGTCTTGAATTAGATCTAGTAACATCGGTACTTAGGACACTATGTACATAATTCGCTAAGTTAATTCAATATATGTGTAAAATTCTTGAATATTTTAGATATTATGTAGTTTTTGTAGTTTTTGTATCTTCGCAGATTTATATTAATACTGTGTAGAAAATTACTCAAAAAGCAATACAAGATCATCTGTGAATTTGTGAAGTTTCGAACATCCGACCTTCAAGACTGTAGCATGAATTTCCTTTTATGTAAATTGCCAAGTATTTTGCCACAGAGAGTTTATCCCAGTTATTCTACGATTAGTTGTGTAACCAACTGTAAAGGTCGTATTGATACCAAAATCCTATAATATTCTTTTCCAGACTGACGGGACTTGCTCAAATTCAGTAGATCTTTTCTCTCCGCAAAACTCATGAAAATTGCAATACCAGTATGTTACTTGCAAGTTATGTACTGGAACCCTACCATAAGGCTTTTTCTCTTTATATTCAGTCAATCGCCACAAGCCAAAGCTCCCTTTTTACCGCTGAGATGCTAAAACAGCTTATTTGTTAGTTTTTATTCTCAACATCACAGAGTTTTCGATCGTTCACTCCTACCTTTCTTCACTTTTACTTACTTGAAATTTGCATTTTTTTTCGAGCGAATGTACAGATACCAGACAGAGCTGAATCATATATTAACAGGTTGCAAGGTGCCTTCAATTTTCCCGACTACTTGCTTTGTGGCATTTCTTAAGTGATAAAAAGACAATGAGACTAACAATAAGTGCGTTCTGTATAAGGCATTTCG